CTGGGATTAAAGGCGTGTGCCACCAATGCCCAGCCCATATTAGTATATTCTAATTGGGCTAGGTAGGAGCAGGCCATGGCTATAGTTTTTCATTTTTGGGTAGGCCTGGACAAGTTCCAGGCTTTATCCTTGTTTGGTTATTACCTTGAGCTTATTAATTGTGGAGGTTCGCTGGCCTAGTACGTGCTGACTATGGGGGCTGGCTCAGGCCTGGTACTGCATGTACCAGGTCTCCTTGCCCTTGCTGTTGGGAGTGTTTGGGACTGATTATTTTCTGTTCATGGTTCTTCCTCAGAAACTGCTTGCATGGTTCCAAAAAGGAAGGACCAACATGCAGTTCTTAACTGAGTTATTAGGGCAGGTTGTCATGATATTAGCCTGGCCTCTCAGATACATATATAAAAATACAAAACAATATCAGACATATATGACATATGTGAATATATATGTGTATTTATATGTGTGTAACAAACACTGTTGGCACTCCACATAAACAAGCTTTGCATCCTTGGATTCTACCACCCCACCGTATCAGTATGCGACGGGAGAGATGGCTCAGCAGTTAAGAGCACTGACAGCTTTTACAGAGTACTCAGGTTCAATTCCTAGAACTCATGTGTTAGCTCATAATCAACTATAACTGAAGTTCCAGAGTTTCTGATAACCCTTTTCTGTCTTATGTGAAAAAGAAAGCTCAGCTGCTTTGTGAAATTTACTGTGTATAAGTTCCATGTGTGTGTATTCAATGTACTTCCTTTAAATACACCTTTCATCTCCTTTATCCCCCCCCTTTCTACTTCTCCTAGAATGTCCATCACATCTCCCTTTCAATTTCATGTGCTCCTTTTATAATTATTTTTTATTCATTTTATGTTCTGCATGTAAGTGTATTGTCTGACTGTATGTATATGTGCCATGTGCATGCCTGGTGCTCTTGGAGATGACAAAAGGGTATCTAAAGAGAAGGGATAGTTGTGAGCCACAACTTGTGGATGCTGGTAACCAAATCTATGTCCTTTGAAAGAGTGACAATTGTTCTTAACCACAGAACAATCTTTCCAGCCCTCTGCTCATTTATTTTTAACATACCATATCCAGTTAGTGTTGCCCATAGGGACATGACCACAAAATCATCCACTGGAGCCTGGAAAACCTATCACTGGCCACAGCCCTCCTCTACCAAGCATCAACTGCCAGTAACTCCTTGGTTAGGGTTGGGCCTGAGGAGTCCTTTCCTTCTCCAAGTAGCAATTTAAACTAAATTTTGCATAGGTATTGTACAGGGAACCACAGCTGCTGTCAGTCCATGAGTACAACAGGCAGGTCATGACTACAGGACAATATTTACCATTATTCCTCCCAATCCTAATGTTCTTTTTTTTTGTCAGAATAAAATATGAAATTTATTTAAAGGCAAATAATGTATTTTATTACAACTATTTGAAGATGTAATTACTAGTAAATGGCAACATTTAAACACTTAGAAAAATATTAAGCACTATTCCTGTTTTAGTGATTGTGTGCTTGCTTCTTCTTTTTTTTTTTCAATGGATATTTTTTATTTGAATTAGAAACAAGAGTGTTTTACATGACAATCCCAGTTCCCTCTCCCTCCCTGCCTCCCCTACCACCCTCAAACTAAAACTCAACCTATCACATATCCTTTCTACTTCCCCTGGATTGTGAGTCCTTCCATAGGGTGTCAACAGAATCTATCTTATCATTTAGGATAGGGCCTAGGCCCATGCCCATGTGTCTTGACTCAGGGAGTATTCCTCAGTGTGGAATGGGCTCCCAAAGTCGACACCTATGTTAGGGATAAGTACTGAACTAGTACAGGAGGTCCCCGAGATTTCCAAAATTTCCTCACTGAAACCCATGTCCCTGGTATCTGGATCAGTCCCATGCTGGTATCCCAGCTATCAGTCTGGAAACCAAGAGCTCCGTGATGTTCAAGTCAGCTGTTTCTGTGGGTTTCACCAGCCTGGCCTGGATCACTTTGCTCTTCACTCATCCTTCTCATCTGGATTCCAGTTCAGTTCAGTGATTAGTTATGGGTATCTGCTTCTACTTCCACCAGCTGCTGGATGAGGTTATTGGGTGGCATATAAGTCAGTCATCAATCCCATTATCAGGGGAGGGCATTAGCCTCTCTTCTGTTGCTTAGATTGTTAGTTGCTGTCATCTTTGTAGATCTCCAGACATGTCCCTACTGCTTGATTTCTCTGTATACTTAAAATGTCTCACTCTATTATGGTATCTCCATTCTTGTTATCTTCTATTCTTCCCCTGACTCAACCTTTCTGCTGCCTCACATCCTCTGAACCTATCCTCTTCTGGATTGGTGGGTATGTATTGTTTGAATCTGGTTTTATCAAAGAATATCTTGTTTTCTCCATCTATATTAATCGAAAGCTTTGCTGGGTATAGTATTCTGGGCTGGAATTCATGATCTCTTAGTGTAGGTAGAATATCTATCCAGGACCTTCTGGCTTTCAGATTTCCAAGGAAAACTCAAGTGTAATCTGATAAGGTTTGCCTTTATATGTTACTTGCACTTTTTCCTTTGCTGCTCTTAATATTTTCTCTTTATTCTGTATCTTTGGGGTTTTGATTATTACGTGTTGAGGAGACCTTTTTTTTGGTTCAGTCTTTTTGGTGTTGTGTAGACTTCTTGTACTTTCATTTGCATGTCTTTCTTTAGGTTGGGAAAGTTTTCTTCTATGATTTTGTTGAATATGTTTCTGTGCCTTTGAGTTGGATTTCTTCTTTACCTAATATTTTTAGTTTCGGTCTTTTCTTGGTATCCCATATTTCCTAGCTATTTTGTGTTAGGGATTTGGTGGATTTAAGATTTTTTTTCTTTTTTTGGTTGATGAATCTATTTCTCCTAGTGTGTCTTCAACTCCTGAGATTCTCTCTTCCATCTCTTGTATTCTGTTGCTTACCCTTGCATCTGTAGTTCCTGATCATTTACCCAGCTTTTCTATGTCCAGCACTCCCTCAGATTGTGCCTTCTTTATTTTCTCTATTTCCATTTTTAGGTTTTGAACTGTTTCTTTGAGAAATTTGTTTATTTCTTGCATTTTTGGTTTGTTTTTTCTTCCAATTCTTTAAGGGATTTTCTCATGTCCTCTTTGAGTCCCTCTATCATTTTCCTGATATGTTTTAAGGTCATTCTCTTCAGCTTCATCTGCATTTTTAGTTCAGGTCTTGCTGGTGTATGGGCCCTGGTCTCTGGTGGTGTCATATTTGGTTTTCTGTTGTTGAATGTGCTTTTACATTGTCCTCTTCTCATCCTTTCTTCTGGTGGGTGTAGCAGGAGTCTCTTCCTCTCCTGGTGGATGTATATCAAGGTTCCCTTCTGGTAGATGCAAACAGTTCCAATACTCTGATGTCTGTTCTCTTCTCCTGGGCCAGTGGATGGAGGTGGGACTGTTACCAGGGACTTGGCAGTGTCTGGGTGTATTGCATCCTGCTGCTGAGTTCAGATCCAGTGATCAGACCCCTGGTGTCAGATGTTCCTGAGTAGTGCTGCCTCAAATGTTCTTTATTTCTCTTCTTTATCCATGTTTTCTGAGTCTAGAGTCTGGGAGGGGTGAGGTAGGTGTGAAAATGGATGCCTCATCTGTAGCTGAACATTCACAGTTGCTTCTTCTCAGCCATTTGAACAGTAATGAATCTCTATGAATTGATGATCACAATAAGAAACATCTCTAACCAAAGCTGTACTGGAAATGTGCAAACTTCATTTTCTCTTTATTCTCTAGGCAGTGAACATAATCCTATCTTAGTTACATTGTCTTAACTATAAGAAGTCTAAGAATAAATTTTCTGTAATTATTACATAGGTTGTACACCTTCTTATATAAGAAACTTGATATCGTCTGGGGATGGCCTAGAACCAATCCCCAATAAATAGCAATAAGTGACATTATTTGTATATGTGTACAAAAATGACACTATGTGTGTATATGTAAAATGTGCATATTGTGTGTATAATAGTATTTAAATATTCCCTTTAAAATTTCCACTTTAATCTAATGTCCTCACCATCTCGCCTGCATGTTCTACTGAATAGGTCCAGGGGTATAGACATTTATTGACTGATTTACATATGGTACCATGTTGACAGTAGGATGCAAGCCTTTGAAAAAAGTTTATCATCTGTTTGCACAGATTCAACACACATAGTTAAAAATATGAACCATGAAAGATAAAAGACATTTAAGTGTGAAATGCAAGGCACGATAATGCTTTTAGGTATTCAGTAAAAAAGAGATTGTAATTATGAGTAGGCATTCTGTGCAATAAAGATATAGAGATCAGACAAATGAGGGGTTATGCTGTCTCATTCCTCCTGCTCAGTGCAAATGAACTATATCTCTTAGAAATGATACCTAAAGCAATTGCCCCTCCTTATATCATCCTCTCTTTCTCCTTCAGAGTGCTTCCCTGAACCCTGTTCTTTACACATTTACTTAGTCTTTTATTGTCTTTGCCTCTAAAGATTAATATTCCTAAAAGAACACCACATTATTGTCTTGCTCACACTGTAATCCCAGCACATTACATGTAAAACATTCATTTCCATTTCTTTAATGAGACAGTTATATGCTACCTCTTTAAGAATACAAGTTGGAGCAAAAGACCCATTTGTTAAGCCCATGGAGTTACCGAAAGTCTTCAGTAGCTCCATGTCTCTCTGTCTCTGTCTCTCTCTCTTTCTCTCTCTGTCTCTCTGTCTGTCTCTGTCTCTGTCTCTCTCTGTCTCTCTGTCTCTCTCTCTCTCTCTCTCTCTGTGTGTGTGTGTGTGTGTGTGTGTGTGTGTGTGTGTGTGTGTGTGTGTGAATTCTTTCATTTTCTCAATTCACAAAAATTATGTATTGGTAGACTATACTAAATTACTACTTTGAGCAATGGATTATGAAAGAGACACATCACTTACATTCTAAGAGTGACTACTGCACGTTTGTTGTTCTGATTTTTGTTTACTTTAGGATTTCCTTTTTAAATGATGGGGGACTCAAAATTCTGAATGTGACTAAGGCTGATGCTGGAACCTACACCTGTACAGCAGAAAACCAGTTTGGGAAAGCAAATGGCACAACACACTTGGTGGTGACAGGTGAGTGCTTTTCTTAGAGATTTCTTTATGCTAGGCTAAACTGTATTTCACGAGAGGAAAACATAAACATATATACATGTACTGGAAGCACTAGGTAGACTCAATGGGTTTAAAGAGTGTGCATGAAATTGAGGGACAAAGGGATGGAGAGGTATAGGAGGAGTTTAAGGAGAGGGAGTGTGAACGATTTGATCGATATACTTTGTATTAATGTCAGAGTTCTCAAACAATATTTAGTTAAAAATGAACACATTCATCACATGTTTCTTACACTGTATAATGCACTGTGAAGTCAGAACACTGGTTTGTTTAAGTGTAAAGGTATGATACCTAGACTTTTATTTGTCACAGCACAGGACACATGGATGGACACAGTAGGTACTTTGCTGGCTCCCTGGGCCATAAGAAATACAAGTGTAATATTATGATTATCTTTACTTTGTGTTGTTGAGTATTCCTATTCCATTTTCTAGAGAAGTTCAAGTTCATGTAGAAATCTTAGATGTTAATGAGATTCTCTTGGGGTTCAGGATATATTTTATTCTTTTATCCTTTCAATTATATGTTCAGCATTTTGTGAGACTCGTGCTTGGGGTATGTCAATGGGAATACAGACAAAGATAATTACTTGTGAACCTTACATGCTACATCAGGAAGGATCATAGACCACAGAGTGATAAGGAAAAAACAGATTATTAAAAATGAAAAATTGCAAGCCACTAAGAAAGTAAATATGAGTGCGGGCAAATGAGGTAAGTTGGAGGCAAAACAGGCTACCTCCAGTTGGCTAGCATGAGACACGAAGCACAGATTTCCGGGAAACTAAGTGTTAGCAGATTTCTTAGGGGCAGTTATGTAGACATGTTGTAGACTTGTTAAGACTTCTGTTTTCAGTCTGTTTTGAAGAGAGAAGCCAGTGTAGTGTTTTCCGCAGAGAAATGCTATCACAAAAGTTTGTTTCTCAAAGAATTGCTCTGTTGTGATGATAGTAAAAGGATCCAGACAAGAGGCCAGAAGAGATCACAAGATGTTCCCATGAAGGCAGCAGGAGGTGACAATTATCAAGAGTAACCAAAGAGATGGTTCCACAGGCAACTAGGAGCTCCATAGATTGGGCATAGACTCAGCAGGAAGTGCTGTTCAATCAGATGGGAGGTTCCTGAAGATAAAGAAGTCCAGAATGGCTTCGAGATGAAGACTAACAGCAAAGCTCACTAACAAACTGCTCCCCATGCATGAGGCTCTGGGATTGACTGCCAGCACTGAAAGGGAAAGAGAACAAAGGGAGGAAAAGAAGGGAAAGAGGGGGATGGGAATGAAGGAAGGAACTGTAGGCTGAGTAGGTCCATAAGTGTAAGAGTTTAGACTTTGGGGAGAGAGTTTAAAGAGGAGGTACTGAACCAGCAGTTTTTTATATCATAATGAGTACTCGAAGCCAAGAAATGAAGCCCATTGATTTGTACAATTAATATGACAGTAATTTACATTTTTAAAATGATAGAGCTTAACACATTTCACATTAAGAAATTTAGGAACCAAAGAGGCCTCCTGAGGGGAGGTGGGAAAAAAAGCTGTCTGACTGGCACAGTATAAAGAGACTAAGAATGTGGTGTGAAGGAGACCCAGTGAAGCGGAGGCAAGACGGATGAGAGGTCAAGGCATAAAAGACCTAAGTTTTACCACTGGATATTACAACACAGCTTTTCCTAGGGACCCTAATGGAGCTAGGTCAGATGAGAGACTAAAAGCCTTAGTAGACTGGGTTGAAGAGGTAATTTTACTCTCTCTGTACAAATAGTTCTTTGATGAGTTTTATTGTCTTGGGGTAAAATGCTGTATGAAACAGTGGGAAGGTAGAGTCAAGAGCAGTTGAATTCATTATTAGTGGAATGTATCTAATTGTAACAGGGGAACATGTGTAGGTGGGCATTAGCCCTGTAAGCCAGTGTCTTGGCATAGTGGGTGTCTCCTGACATATTTTCTACATCTGTAATCAAGGACAGTTTGAATTTATTTGCATTTTCATTTGAATACATTTGATATTCCTTGAAGATTTGTGAGAACAGGGGAGTTCCTATTTCTACTCTCGTATTTCACAAAACTATGAAACTAAAGTGAATTGATTTTGTCACTGGTATAGCTTATTTGCAGGTGAGCTTCCATTCTGCACATATATCTTCTTCAAACTCATATATCTTAATTCTCTTAAGAAAAATTTGTGAGGCCAGTAAGATATAGTATAATTTTACATCAAGATGCCACTTTAATCTTGAAGACTTTGAATCACATAGATGTGTACACTCATGCATATACAAATATATACATTCCAACTCAGATGAACAACCTGCCTATAAAATTACTTTTATCAGCATTAAAATTTTGTTTATAATTTGTCTATCCAACAGAACCAACCAGAATAATTTTGGCTCCTTCTAACATGGATGTTGCTGTTGGTGAGAGCGTCATTTTACCCTGCCAGGTGCAGCATGATCCCCTGTTGGATATTATGTTTGCCTGGTATTTCAATGGAGCTCTTACGGACTTTAAGAAAGATGGATCCCACTTTGAGAAAGTTGGTGGAGTAAGTTATGTTATTTTTCTAATATTCTTTTTATTATATGGGTCTATGATAAGTTTCCTCTCAAAAATATCTGTGATGCAGACAACGCATAGCAGAGCTCCTCAAGTTGGGAAATTAAATTTGGCTTCTGCATTCTTCTAGTGTGGTCTAATTTTATTTTTGTTAATCACTAGAAATTAAGAATATTTCCTTTAACCTATAACTATAATTAGAAATGGTTCAGTCTCCATTTATATTTAATGTTATCCTTCATAACATTTTTGTGGTTGGTATGCCATCCAAAGTGTTTTATTTTCAAATAGCCAATCTGTGATGCAATAGAAGGCAGCTTTGTGTTACTTACATTCATTTAGATGCCACGGTAGATGTTTAATCAAAGGCAGTCTTTGGAGTACCATTGGGCATTAGCTATAAGACTCTTCAGTTCACAGGCATACAAACTCAGGATTTGAAAAGTGTAATAAATTTCTCTAAGTCATGGAAGGAATGGATAGTGGAGCTTCAAGGCCTGAGCTTGTCTGTTTGTCTCTATAATGAAAATACTCTCATATATCCTCTTCTTTTCTGTCTCATTTGTGATAAATCCAAGGTAGGAAAAGTATGGATTTCAAGGAAAAGTTAACAGTTGAAGAATGGCTAAGAAATTAGTTCATACTGAACCAAAAGTCTAACCAAAGTCTTCATAGCTTTGTGTATATTTGTGAGCTCAGTTGAGCAATACCAACCTTGTTGATAATTTGTGAGGCCCACTGACCGTGAGAGGATCATTCACTTTGGAAAGATGTGAAATCTGAGCCTTGTATCTTTAGACTTACTGTGTAGTTATCAGTAAAGTAGACAACCACACAATGGCCAACTCAGTGATATTTCTTTGACAAGGGTTTCTTGTTAATTATATACATATGTACACATGGTCATATCAGAGTTCTATGCTACTTCATAAGATTCTCCTTGTGACTAAAATCTGCTTTCCTAAATGATATGTCCAAATCTTAGAACCCAGTACTTTAGAACTAGGACTGTTGCAGAAATATGCATTAAATTAAGATGAGGTCACCCTGGAGTGAAATGGGGCTTTATTTAATACAAATGATGATCTTAGAAAAATAATGCAGTTTGTATAGAGATACACAAAGAAGAGAACACTATGGAAAGACAGCCAAGGAGGAGTAAATATCATGTGACAGTCAAAACAGTGATGTCTCCACAAAGCAATGGATACCTGGGATCCAAAGGAGCTGGAGAAAGTCAGAAGACACACACCCCTAAGGATTCTGAAGGGAACATAGCTGTGTCTGCAATCTTGATTGAAGATTTACAGCCCACAGAATTGGAAGAGGACATATGTCTGTTGTTTTAAGCCATTGTTGATGTTTTTGTTGTTATTGTGACAACCTCAAGAAACTAACACATGCAAAAGAAAAATAACTAAATGTGGTGTTAGATAACATGTCACAAGTAGAAATAAATTGAGTACCATTTTTGTTTCCCATCATCTGGCTTTATTTAGTTTGAGGAGAACTGGTTTTCTAATTGCTCTCCCTGTTTCAAGGCTTTGAGAATGTTTTCAGTTGCTACAAGCCCTCAGCATTCCTTTTCTCATTCCTTCAAATGCCCACTTGAAAATTGTCACTCCTGTCTTCCATAACAACAGGAAAAATGTGTGCCAACATTCTCAAATTAGCACTCTCCTCTATCTGAGTCCCTTGTGATACTGCCTAAGGTTGTGAAGAGTCTTGAGAAGGATAAATACCTCCAGTTACCTTCATAATGTCCCATTATCCAACCTGGGAAATAATTCTCTAAGCAAGTTCTGTCATAATGTCCCATTATCCATCTTGAAAAATAATCGTCTTAACAAGTTCTCCTTGTTTAAATTCTTAAATGAAGACTTCAATTTGAAGCATTAGTTACTTCTGCTCTGTCATAAAGTTGTTTGTGATTTATCATCTGGATCATAAGCTGTTGCAATATGTTATCCAATACAAGACCCTCTGTATTAGTTAATGCTATATAAATATCACCGAGACATTCCAAATCCGAAGAAGTTTGATGGTAGTATGTAGAAATGCTTACAGACTCAAATGGATAGCTGCTACTGTGTACAATGAACTCAGAGTTAAGTACTTTCAAGTTGATAATGCCACTTAACTCTCCCAATTGGCAGAGGATGGATGGTTTGTATACAAGACGTCATCTTTGGGAAGAGTTAAGTTTCAGAAATGTGGAATTTTATAAGTTAAGCCACTTTTGTTTCTTGTACAACATGAAAGTTCGTGGCCTTTGATTTTTCTATTGACTCATACTATTAGAAACTTAATATTCTCACATCAGTATAAAAAAGTAAGCTATGCAAAATAACATTGTCCTTAAGCACAAACAATTAAGTAAATCAGTTTTCGCTTGCATGGGAAAGAAATTATATGGTAACCCTTGTTTTCTGATTTTGTATTTAGTGCCGTGTACATAATAATAACTAGTATGTATGTTCCTGTCTCTCTCTCCTTCTCCCTCTCCCTCTCTCTCTCTCTTTCTCCTATTCATCTCTGTCTTTCTCTCTCTTTCTGGTATATTCATAGATACATTCTTTTTTCCCAAAACAGCAAAATGTAAACAAAGAAGCAGGTGAGTGGTAGGGTTGCCTAAGGAAGGTTTATCATCTATGATTCATGTTGCCAGTAGAGAGGATAGTTTACATTACAGAAAAATTGACTCATATCATTGACCAATGGATTCAGCTAGTTGCTTTTAGGACTACATTAGAAACCTGGAACTCGACATTTATTTTGAAAAAAAAAAAGGTTTAGTTCATAATGTTAAAAGTCTCCACAACTGTTACTGTATATTAGAATAGTAAACCAAAGGATTATAGAATACCAGTCACAACTTTCTGCAATGTCAGAATGATGCACTCAGAATTTATTTAACCAAGTACCAGAAGCAAATTGCAACAAAAGAAAAGGCTGGATCCAAATATATGCTTCAGTTTGTGCCAATAACACAAAAGGAAGTTGTGTCATTCAAAGATCAGTAAGTGCTTAAGTTTTAATCTCTTCACATCAGATTTTTAGTGTTTGCCATGAGATCTTGAAGACATTGGTTTCTCTGTGAGTGTTTTTTTTCTTTTTCTAGCCATAATAAGATATTTTCCTATACTATTGTATACATGCAGATAATTTATGTGCCCACTCATGTCATTTGTGCATTGTTTATGGAAAGTTAAAAGAGACAGTCTAACAATGTGTATAGTGGATAACATTCTATCAATCTCATATTGAATTCAAGATTTCATCCCATGAATTCACTCAGAAAAGGCATTTCTTGCCTTACCTTAAATAGATCTCAGCTTCCACTGATCAGAACAGACAGCCCAAAGGCCAAGAGAAACAAGAGAATACTGTTGGCATAAATCTGAAAAATCCTTAGGGCCTAGCTTTTAGGGACATTCAAGGACACTTTTTGGTTTCCTTAAAAAGTGAAATTTTACAGTTAAGACATCATACCAGGGCATTCTACAAATAGAAACTTCGAAACCTAGACATAGTAGGTATCCACTATACATTCACTGTAAGATGCTTCAATATATGGGATTTGTATTATGTGGGGGGGGTATATTGTTTATGATTTAATAAAGCCACTGGAGATCAAAGTGCAATGCTAGCTACAACCATAGAGCCAGGAAGTGGTGATATACATCTTTAATTCCAGCAGCCACACTAGCTAGTCATATTTAGACCAGGTGATGGTGGTACATGCCTTTAATCCCAGAACTCAGGAGAGTGAGACAGAGGGATCTTGTTAGTTCAAGACCACACTGAGCTATGTGAAATTGATCCAGTTTAAAAGAGAAACAGCTTACACAAAGGAGACCTCAGCACTTGGGGTCCCATGCCTTCAATCCCAGCTCTAGAGAGATATATAAGATAGGAGTGGGGCATTCAGTATTCAGGCTCAGAGATTTATTCTCCAGCCATGCTAAGGACAGGACAGCCCTTTCCACCTGAGACAGTGGTGAGAGCTAGTGGCTGGATGCTTGACATCTCTGATCTTCAGCTTGAACTGCAATATCTGGCTCTGGGTTTTGATTAGCAGGTACTTTAGAAATGAATGATGTCTGCAACCAAACAGAACAATTTCACAAACGTTTTGTGGAATTGGGTCTATGATGAATTAGAATGTATGTGGATAAAAGTCACTGGAAGCAGGAAGAAGGAGAGCATGACAACCAAAGGAGCAAGAAGGATAGCAGTGACAATCAATCTGTCATTCATTTAACTGGCTCACTTCAGTGTGATTTATCCCCCACAGGCCACAATCTCAGTGTGCTTGTAGCAGCTACATATGAGCTTAACATTTAATCTATTCTTCTGCTCTCAGTAGTTGATAAGCCCATGTTCCAGGATGCTCTTTTCTATGTGGTAATATGACATTGTCTCTTGGGATTAATTAACTTCATTGAATGATTTGGATATGAAAACAGTAGTTATTTTCAGTATAAAACTTGTTATGTAAAAAATATGAGGATTTTCAATACCAAGGTAAAAACCATTATTCCATGGATTTATCAATATGATGTTCTAGTGCTTAAAACATATTTTTAAAAGTGTTTAAAACCTCAAGTTTTATGTGCAATCTAAATTAAAAGTATTAGCTTACTTGGAAGGAGCATTAAGAGAATGCACCCAGAATTGTGCCCAGAGTAGAAATTCACCTGATAAATGGTACTAATTGTCATATGCATACTCCATGAGGAATAATTCTGCCCATAATGAGCTTTTAGGATAGACACTTAGGACTTCCCCAGACACTAGGTTAAGTAATTCATATGCTCAAAACTCTTGATGTTTAGGTATTCCCATAACTCACCGTTTATCTATCTTCTCATGCAGAAGTTCCCCTTCTGCTTATAATGCCACTGGTAATTCAGCTTCTATCCCATAAGTAAATCATTTACCAAGATGAACAGTCAAAATACATCTTCTAGTATAAGGTAACCCTTT